AAAAAGGTGACTGCTTATGATAGATATAGAGGGAAGCATCATTTCGGTATGTCGGTTTGCGTTTCGGATTCTTTCCTTGTCAAAATTCATGAAAAGGATCAGGTCAAACATAGTAACACTTTTCAGATCAGTCTTTTATCTTTTTTTGCTGCAATAAGACGTTCGTGCTCAAACGAGGTAACCATATTCAGCGGTCTTGTGCGTTATATGGTAGAGGATTCAGGATACTTATAACATAGTCTGCTCGTACTACAGGGTACGGATTGATTTATTAAGATCATCAAATTATCAGCCCCGGGGTTGACAGTGCAATCACCACTACAGATGCCCAACGTTTCAGCTGGGTCAACACAGTCAACACCTGATCAGTGCGAGCCAGCCTAGCTCAATAAACGTAAATGGACAAGCACTATTTAGTCCCCAACTTTATTATTCGGATTCGTGTATAATAGTGGTCTACTGGCGAACGCAGACCGTATAACATCAGCTGCATAACTGCAGGTATTCGATCTTTCTGGTCCCCGTCTGAGTATTTAACTCCTCACATCGTTCTGGAAAGGTAGTTGTAAGAACAACTCATTGGTTTCCAATGTCGGTGTTTTAGAGTGTGGTGCTGATATTGGTGTTCCCGCCACAACGTTCCTCTAAACAAACTGTTCGCGGCATCCGTTATTGTATTCTCAAGCTCAATTTCTACTGCTTCGTTGGGATGGATCTGGTCGACTGAACATCGTTTAAGTATTCAATGTGCTTCGAGCTCATAACCTGTTTGTATGGTGGTCTACAGATCAATGTGCGTTCCTTCTGTCTCTTCTCTCAGCTTCGTGCAAAGTAAACGTAATTTCTCCCTAGTATCCAGTTAATAACCAAACGAAATTCCAACATATTTTTATAAAAACATGCATGACTATGTAAATACTCGAGAAGGAAGGTAATAAAAGCACTTTGTTCGCATAGAATTTATTTTCTGAGCAATGGATGCGGGTATTTCGTAAATCTCGATGGGAAAATTATTTTCAAGGGATCAGCAAAACCACAGTGTTCACAAACAAATCAGTCTGTTTCCAGCAGCTGCAAAGAATCTACATATGACGGTAGTTGTGCAAAATTTGTGGAACATTCCAGGGCTTTGATCATCTTTACATCTGACCGAGTGCATCCTACCTCTCAGTGCGGCACAATTTTCACAATTCCTTTGATACTTTGCCCCGCAAATGAGGTCAGGTTTTCATGTTTGATGCACTTATCATTTGTCTGATTCATTTAATCTCAGGATCTTGTCTACTATTGCCTTAGTGTTAAGGCAGAGACGTCTGACAAACTATGGAAGGTAATGTTATGGGAGTCATTTGAGACAACTAAATGAGTGAAACCAAATTGTGGCAGAGAATTTATGGTTTTAACCCAAACCGTAGTGGGGAGTTTCGTTTTATGAACATCATTCGTCTTTGAGCTAACAAGAGCATTAAACATCTGAATAAGACTGGTAGTCGTTTTACAGCTTCATCCTTACATATTTTAAAGGTTACCTCCACCTTGACGTTCTCGCACCTTTAATGCTTTCTAATAAAAAGTAAGAAACTTTCAGTTAGTGTGGATTTTTTCTCCTTCTTCCTTAAACTATTTCACAGCCATTTTATGCATAAAGCCTGTGTAAATCATGTTCATTAGCTTGCTTGGTCTGTAAACCTATGGAACACACACCACCCTCAAATTTGTAAGCACTGAATATTTGGTCATCTGGAAACGATGCTTTTGACCCATCCCATGTCAATTCACAAACAGTCTGGGTGTGGTGTTCGAAAATCACAAGATAAGCTAACTCAGTGTCTCACGTATTCCTAGATCACGATAAATTATTTATCGAAATTATTTGGCTTCCATTAGTTCATGTGGGTATAAAGCGATACTGAACACAGGAAATTCACGTGGGTAAGCGATGAAATTTTTGGTATTATTATATGTTTTCAGAATCCGAGATGTTCTGTTCCACGCACTGTTCACTGATGATGTCCCATTCAAGTAGGCTTGGCTAATTTATACGTTGCGGGTATCCCGTTTCAACGACTACATCAATGTGAAGCCCCTGTGATTCTCGTTAAGAAACAAAACTGATGATCATTTGCTGAAATTGTCCTAAAATGCGGAGAGGGCTCTGCCTGATATTACTCAATCCGTCTTACGGAGGCTACACAAACAAAACCAAAATCTTCTGTGAAGTTTCAAGTACATTACCGCAGTAGTTGACGTCTACCTTGCCAGGATAGTGCGTTACTGTGAAAGTAGTCATTCTCGCAAGGCGTAAACAACCCAGGCGAAACCGAGTTTATTCATGTAAACATAAAAAGGGTTAAAGTGCATTGTACCACCAGAAAAAAAAACTAGATCCATACACCGGGCGAGATTTCTCAGTGTTAGAGGTTAAAAGAAGCCGGTGTGAGAAAATGTATGATCCAGTAAGTCACAGCAATAAAAAACAAACACCCAGTAATGAAAGTTTCTGCATGTAAATACAGTATTTTTCTATTCCAAAAAGCTGCGGCATTTTGATCCGAGCTCATTCGTAGGCTCGCAATGAAGTAGTACGAATCGGGCTACGGACGCTAGAACAAGATAAGGAAGTTTTTATCTACCCCAAGTGTCTCAGAAGTAGTGCGTGGACAATTTTCTAATGATTCAACATCTTGCGAGGAAAGAAACGCCGTGATAGGTTTTGTACAAGGCACAGTCTTCCATTGGAGTAATCCTTAAACACAATTGACAGAACAAACGTACAGTGCTTCCAACAGACGTAACTCACAAATAGGAGAATAGTTCAATTGTCCCTAATCAGTGTTGTTGCTTGTATTACCGTTTATCAGGAATGTATCACTGAGTGTCAGCATACAGACAAACCAACCCAACAAAGCAAACACGTTTCCGATCAGTACCAGGAAGAAGTTGAAAGCATTTAATTTATGTGACACAAGCAACAGGTGTGTGTGTGTGTGTAATCTAGATCATTCATCATTATTGTACGGGAATTGTATCACTAATCTACTATGTGTACTGATCTGCTACAGAATTTGGTGCACAACGCTATGCCTATAGCACTTGGACGCTGATTGAATGTCCAATAAGATGGTATATTGCGACTGAAACCGCATTCAGCTGACTATCGATGCACACACAAGCACTGGCTGGTAGATTATCGGTAAAAAGACATCATATTTAGGAGCGCAGAAAACTAGTAAGGTATACAGCGTTCTCAGAAACAGAAGGTTACAAATAGTAAGATATCTTCACAGAACGTAAAGGTCAATCAGAAANCAAAGCGATTGGGTGTCATAAGCTGCCACTCATTTATAACAACACAAGAAAACAGTCCTCCGGACAACAACAAAGAAAATTTGGGTAGAAGCTATCACACCCTGGTCCATTTTAATGGCATGGAACGCATTTGGATGACTATTCGTACGTAAGCGTGCAAGCAAGACAAATAAGTACAGGCGTGCACAGATAAAATGGCACGACAGGAACAACACCCTAACCTAACTCACTTGGAACCACGGGTAACATGGCGGTTGTACTACCATCTGAAGCCCGTCCAGTTCCGGAGGAAGAACTGCCTGAGGTAATCAATGGCTGTCTTCCGTATACGCATATCTTATCAGTCAAAGCCCCAACATGTTTGACAGAGGTGGGATTCGTCGAATCATGTGGATCAAATCGATCTAGCGGGTGTTTAGGCCCGGAGTTCCACGGGTCGGATGTCAGTGGACTTGGAATCAACTGACTGCTCGGTGTACCCACTTTGACGGGTGAGGTGGGTTGAGTAAAAGAGGCGGTCAGATGCGGTTGTGCCGGTCGTGAGTGTGGGGTGAAAAAACCCGGTACCCCACGGGGCACAATCACCGGGGCTATCGATCGGTTAGGCGCTGCGCGGGTACTGTCAAAGCCTGAATCGGACCAGAGGATCAGCGAAAATCAGTGAGAACACCATGGAGTTAGTGCAAAATTTTCGCCTTTCTTGTTTCGCTGTGTTTGAATGTGTCAGTGAATTGGTGGTGGATGCATTTGTCACTTCAAATGATTAAGCAGCTGCTTTTGCTCAAAATTAAATGAATCACTCACACAATCAACTATTTGAAGTGGAGCCTACCGACAGAAAATTTACCCTCAGTTTGGTGAGTCTGAAGGCTGTTCGTCTGTAAAATAGGAACGAACAAACAGTCACAGTAGTTCATACTTTGGCCACGAGTAATAATATTCGATAATAATGGTATCGAAACTGCATATATTTTGGCTAAAATAAATTTGTGTTGATCACGAATGTGTGATGTCAGTCACAATACATCACAACTGAGCATTTCTCATAATGAACAATAATGAATCCACTAAAGCAATCATTTTAACTTTCGTGTTACGGGCGCGCCGTACCTGGTCAAGGGAATGGGGAAACTGGATATCCTCAAAAACCAAGTCGGGCATCACTCTATTTAAGTGTCGACTGTAGGATGCAGAAAGACGCTAATGGTTACTAAACCTGATCCACATAGACTAGGATGATGATGGATAAGCAGAAGCTTTATAAGTGTTCCAAATGATTCCACCAAATGCGTATGCTGCACAATTTGTTTTCAAAGACAGTATAATTACCCGGTTCACATATGTTGCATAACAGTCACAACACAATTCAACATAAAATCATCTTTATGGTCATTTGACGTTGTCTATCAGCGATAACAGTCATTGCAAACAAGTTTATTTTGCAACATCCGAAATGAACTTACCAGCACTTGAATCTATATTTCCAAACGGATCCGCAATATCTCCGGCTAATCGCGATCCCGCCGCTCGTGGTTCCGACTGTTGTCGTGTTTTGGCACGTTTTTGCGCTCGTCTTCGCGGTATCGCAGCGGACATTGAAGCTGCGGTTTGGAGGGGTGTAATAGAAGGCAGACGACTTGGTGGTGAACTAACATCCGGTGGAGGTTGGATTACCGGTGCTATTGGAGCTGACGGTTCGACGCGTGGCGCTGGGGGTGCTGATGGCGGAGAACGAGTTGCGTCAGACGCATTACCTGTTTCTTGTGTCGATTGCGTTTCAGATTGTCTGCTGATTTCAGCTAACTGATGAGCCCAACCAAAGACTGGGGGACCAGGAGTGGGGAAGCGGAAACCATTTGGCTGAGAGGACCGGGTACTATTGGAATTTTCCAAATCTGGTGGCAGTGGACGCCAAGCCATTGTGGAGTTAGATCCATTGCCCAGACTTAAATCGGCTGTTGCCAAACTTTGAAAATCAGACATGGGATAAACTATATTTGGTGGGATACCCAAGGAGCGAAAATGACCATCATTGGCGGACGGGTATTGGAATCGTTGAGCTTGGGAGTTGACAGATGAAGAAAGCTGAGATCCTTCCAATCCGGGATAAACGGCTTTTTCTAAACTGCACAGAAAGTCATCGTTATCCAGTGATCCAAGTTCATCGAATTCCTGGGTATAGATATGAACAGAACATTTTCGTTTGAAAGTTTAAAGTTCGTCATATAGAAACGCCTATTACCAAAATAGGTGAACTCGAAGGCTAGCCGCGATATCTTCAAGATGGATTCATTTATAATGACTGTAAAGTGTAGCTACAGACGGTAAACTCCCGACTTAAACATACTTTCCCGAACAAGCTGTGTACATGTTCTGGATTCAGACATGCCACGGCCGAAGTTAAACAAACTTAAGAATGCATCCCCGGGAAGGTATCAAATACGTACTCGAAATGGTAGGTCAAGTCAACTCAAGTCGAGTTAGGTCTCATGCATCATGTGTTCAGCGAAAACCAGTGAAAAATTTACGGATGCTTTGTCGTCACAGCACTAATTTTACATTGTCACGAATACCAATAAGCTGGTATTGTACACTGCTGGTTAAAAGTTGTCTTCCAGGATTTGTATTAAACACTTACGCAGATCGTGGTTGAAAACTCATAGCCAGACAGTTAATCCAAACGAGGTCAGCACACAGAGATATCAGACGTCATTAATCATTCTTTGACAAAGTTCTGAAAAACGGTTCTCGTAGCTCGGGTGAACTGAATTTCACTTCGCTTGTTCGCCGAACCTGGAAAAACCTGCAAAACTTTCATCACTAGCCCAGGTGCTTGGGAAGTGGCCTTTCACTGATTTGAATTCGAATTGATGTCCCTCTTGATCTTCGTAGAGGGAAATCAACGACAGTTGGTCATGCCTCTTGGCCAATGATTGACAGTTTTCTTCCAGTTTATACGATATAGCGTTTTTGTAGATAACACTGCTCTTGTCCTTCTTCATTGTTTTCGAAATGAGTCTCCTTACAATTGAATTGTATATGGTCTGAGCAGCCTTGCTGTCATTTACGAAACGTCCTTGATGTGCGGCAGTGTCGTTCTCAAGTACTGACGACGTCACCTCGGCCAGTGATAAAACGGTTGCAAGCAAACAGACCAGTTCGGCAAACAGGCGAAATGGAATAAGTCAATCTTGCTTAAAGCAACAGACAGTGTTCTATTCCACGTGAATCTATTTCTCGGCGCATTGCGGGTGTCAGTTCCGGAAGACAGCAGTATGAGTACATAATAGCCAGTCAGATTACGTAGATGAATACGTTTGTGCACTTTAGATTACCGGTGAAACCGATCTCGTGTTAGATGAAACCACCCCTACTCCCGCCGCACCAATGGAACAAAGTTACCCAGATATCTGACCCAGGTTCGTTATTTCGTTTTAATAAGAGCGAGAGCAAAATGTTCAAATACCCTAATACTGCTCAGCGATCATTATTAACCAATATCAACTTGATCATGAGAAAAATCACTCGCTAGTTCAGGTTGTCTTTCGCTCTACTTTGCTCAGAGCAGACAGCATAAAAATGACTTGATAAACCAAGCTGAGTTTCCTGTTTAGTTTTTCTTCAAAGAATTCGACCATGAAGTTGAACGGAGTAGTCTGGTTCTGAGCTAGCTGTACCCTCTGCAACCCTTAAACGATTATCGCATGCGATAATACAGTACTGCAATAATTATAATCGGGTCCGAAAAGAAAGACAAATATTCAGTCATTACAATTATATCGGTTTCTCAAAACATCTGACGGTTGTTTTATTCTGTTTGAACAGAACATCTGACACTTGGATCACCATTTTGGTTGGTCATCAGGCGAGTGCCCTAATCGACAAACCCATATTCTTCATCTCGACAATGTATATGTATTTGTTTGTTTGTTTTGTTTGTTCGCCAGCAAGCCGTTTACTTCAAATTGATTTAGATATTCCCCCACAAATTATGGACAGTAATACAATGAATAACGTAAGTATTGCAATTCACCAGGTTGAAACTGTTCTTCAAATTTTGTAGGTAACTGTGTTTTCAGGAAGAATGGATATCAATCAGACAACAACGTTCTCACGCACAGTTTGCCACTCATTCGGTCTATCAAAGACTAGATTCGAGCTTCTCTGTTGATAGACATTATCGGTAGTGATCCTACACGACCAGGCGTCTCAAACAGCCTTTGCTGCGTCGACCCAACTCGCTGTCTTCACTTGGCAGACGTGTTTTCCCACCAAAGTGAGAGAACGAAAAGCCAACATCCGGTGCTACAACCGGGTTAATGAATACTGGCGGTTCATCTCGGAGGGTTGACTAAAAATCCGGATTCCTAACCGACTGAGAAGAGGAGTAGGAACCACACACGTCTTCCTGGTTCTGACTATAGACACCAGTTTCATTGTGAATCAGGATATGTTGGACACAGTGGACGTTAAACCAACTACCCAAAGGGTGTCTAACTCAATGCACTTGGTATCAGCCTCAACGAATTACTGTTTTTACACACCAATTCGCAGTCTTTCGGGTCGGAGTGATGTTGGTCAAACACTCCGGTTGTGAATTCGCAGTGAAAATTCAGCTCATTTGAACTGAACAAACTGATAACATTTCATTTACCGGCAAAACATAAACTTTTCCTTCCTTGCAAAGATTAATCTAACCGTGGCTACTTTGGCACATAAGCTGAGCTCCGATCCGTGTGAAATAAAATATGACATAATAATCGCCTAAATCATGCGAAAAGCGGAAATTTTTCTTTAAAAGTGTTTCTAGTGGACAGGTAATAGAAATCGGGGCAACTGAATGAGTCATCAAATAACGGAGATGTGGAGTACAAATTACAAATTAAAAAAACTCAATATGTATTAATTCACATGTTTGCTAAGCTAGTCACCCAAAGTTGAGCGTGAAACATGACGACCACTTGTAAAGTTATGGCGTTTAGCACTGAAGTTCCCTTACACGAGACCAGACAAGTTGCCTAAGGACAAAACAACAACGTATAAATATCACATAGTAGGTCAACTTTAGAAATTGCTGATTGCAGGGTTCAAACTGTCTCAGTTTTCGGATTTGAAAAACAGACATCAAAGTTTCACAAAACAGTATTTATCTAAGAATGACACCTTGTGTAACTATCTGCGATAATGCCCAGTTACTTGAGGGAACTAACCCTGGGTAGAGATTTGGAATTCTATGAGACTGGAGCAGCCAAAACAGAGGGCAAAGTAGATTGAAAGTGATTCAACACAATCAGAGCTTGTCAATTTCAGACCCGAATGGGGCGAATTCCACTATATTTTATAGCCGTTCTCATTGAGCTCTAACAAAACAAAAAGGGTACACAATGGCTGACAAAGAAAGACTGACAGAAATTCGAATACCCCTATGAGAAAAAAGGAAACCTGGTTTTCACGCGTGTAAAATAGAAACTAAGACCACCCATCAACCCGGAGTATTGTTGAACAGAGGTTTATAAAAATTGCTTATTACATTTTAGTGCAACAAATTTATGCAGTCAATAAAAGGGATTGTGTGGAACAATGACAAGCTTCGATTCTGTCAAGCTATGACCATCTGTCACCCAGTATATTACCTCATAGTATTGATCGAGATGAGTAATGGCTACTGCTCTATATTCATGTTCAGTAAAACAATACCAAGGTAGTGCCTTGCTGATTATCCAACCAAATATCAGCATCATAGAGTAGTTCAGTTTTAAAAATCTGCGAATGAGCAATATGGACTGGCAAACAAACTTTTCAGTTCGAATAAAAAGATGAGACTTATGACAGATCAGCATTCCTATTCCAAAACGATCCCATATTTTATTGAGCCAAGTTGTATACAGATCCAAACCCAGCAGGAATGAAAATCTCAGTTTGAATAATAACATATTCCTGCAAACGTTCCATGATATTTTTCCGCCGTGGTTAACACCTTTTCCGAGAACAAATGAAACTGAAGTAGAATTTCCTGGTAAGAACGCTGGAGTAAAATGGTTGCAAAGGACGGCCGATTGTTTAAAAGAAGCGGAAAAGTCATTCTCTAGTAGGTGAAGTATTTTACAGAAACGAAAAAATATATTACGCTTCACTGACAAATATATTTCTATGCACATGGTTGTTTCCTCAACAACTGCGGCTTCTACTCAACTGGCCAACTCACAAAAGAGTTTGAAATCAATGATGCCTAAATACAGGAGTAAATCTCTACAATGAGTTGTCATATGATTTGTATAAAGAAGCGTAAAATGACTGCGTTTCTTGGTTGACGAATTAGGGAATACCCGCAGTCATGATGGTAGCTGGATAGGCTCGTCGGGATCGGTAAATTAGTTGTGCTTCTTTCCTAAAACACACTTGGCAGTCTAGCTAGCACGGTATGCGAAATGCGCCGGGCACGAAATGAGTATCGTTAACCACCGATGGTGCTCAGTTTACACAACCAATCCTAAACTGAACCTGTTCTGTTTGAAGCGACTTGAAAACACCGGCACCTGTAGCACGTCATCGAAGGAGACAGAGGCTAGAAAAAGAGTGTGTATGTGAATGGCAGGCAAAGGTAATAACATCACGCACTGAACAAGCACGCACAAATGACGGCTGGAGCGTGATGTAATCGATGCGTGCGTTTGCAGCAATGTCGGGATATGAATTGGAGAGTGGTAAATTTCACTGGCATTACAAGACATACCAAACGTGCAACCAGGAGATATCAACCACGTTTCATGAGATATATAAAGCGAAATTTAAACAGCTGCTACTAATGTTGCACGCGTGTCTCCTGATTAGTGCTATGACCATTTTTACACATTCGTTGATCACCACTGCAAGTAACTTCGAAAATTGATTGAAATCAACATAGAACTTAACTTCACACTCCACTTCACAAGCACTGATGATGTCACCTCGGCTGGTGATGAAACGTTTGCAAACAAATTGCCAAGCTCGGCGAACAGGAGAAATGGAATTCAATTCACCCGAGCTATGAGAACCGATTTTCAATATTTTGTCAATAGAACTTGACTATTTTCAAACATGTATGTGTGCACTGGATCACTAATTTTAACTATGAAGCCATTGTGAGTATCTATAAAAATCAAATAAAACCTATCGAACTATCGAACTCGCAAGGATTTCGGGTCTTTTTCACTTGAGTGATATCTGGTGAAAACAACTGCCAGAATAAGTGCCCAAATGGCTGGAACCTCTCCATTATTAAAGTAATAAATAGAAAGGAAATCACTACACAAAATCACGTTACCGCTTGGAAAACGAGAGTGAGAGGGGAGGAGTAGTTTACATACATTGTAAAAACTTCACGAACTAAATAAAAGAACGTCGCTGTCTATCAAAAGTCCTTCAAAATCTCAGAGTATTGACCTGCATTCATGTAAACATGTGTTTGGTAATATGAAGTACAAAAACCAAACCCTTTTTCATGATAGATGCCATATGCCACCCCATCATAGTTACGAGGTAGTGTTGTGTTACAGTTATCGGATTTACACACGAATTTTCGTCCCAAATGTTGCGGAAAGCATTATATTATTCTATACAGAAGAGCATTTAGTTTCATTAGTTCATGCCCACCTGTCCTCGTGTGATTTGGAAACAAAGCAGGCATCCTATCGATTTGTGTGGTTGGGCGCACTCTCCTCGCAGATTGACAAAAGAAACTTGAAGTGTACTTTAGCAAAAACCAACGACTCGTGTCTAAATTTCATCTCAAACGGAAGTAAGCCCTGGTTCAAGTTTCACAGTGCTGTTAGAAGATGTGATCGGGACGAAAGTAAAGACCTTCTCCAATCTTTAAGACCAAAACAATGGCATAAGACTTGGTATACAAATGTCGAATGTTAATCAAAAAACGTGGGTGACATCCTAATTTCCATCGTTTATTTAAAACCATTCACTTGTATTTCCCACTTAATTTCACTCGTTGTGCACATTTTTGTTTATCGTGTTCAAAGTACACATTAAATTCAAAAATGTATAAAGTATTATTTGGGCTGGCACAGTGTTTCAGTTTCAGTTTGTACAGCTATTAACCATACACTTTCGTGCACCCGTTTTCGTTGCTGTCTTTTGACTGTTCATGTGGATAAAACAGCAGAATGAACATTAGAATGTTGAGAGGAGATTCAAGCGGAAGATAAAGGAGAATTAATAAAGACTGAGGTTGCAAGAATAATGAATAGATACATAGCGCCACTGTTTGCAACACCCAGCCATATTGCTCAGTGTTTCTAAATATCGGTGACCATGATCTCGGGGTCCCGAGCCAGGGAGTCTAACGGGGCCTATGCGACCCAATCTTCTGTTTAGGTTTTACATACACTCATGCCAGATCTTCGTTTGACCACTCTTGACCTTTGCCCGACTGCTACCCGCCTCGGCAAACATCGCTCACCGTGGCAACCTATTTGGTGACATGCGTAAAACATATCCCAACCAGTGAAATCTATGAAGGTTGACAGCTTCCTTCAATGGACGATCGCAATTACCTAAAACTCTACGCCTAACCTCAGCATTGTTCGTCCGGTTTCCCCACCAGGCTCGTGCAATGCGACGTAGACGGCGGTGTTCGAACACCGGCCGTCTATTTTTACCCTGATCCCGTAAGTCTCTGCACCGTAAAACAGCACTGGCCGAACTGCTTCAGCATATACTGGACACTTCACCAACAGCTCTACATGGCGACGGCTCCACAGATGTCTCAAATTGACAAATGCCAACCGAGCCTTTTGTGTGCGCACCGACACTTCATCTGTGATGCGTTCGCCAGCTGAGATGTAGCTGCACAAATAGCAAAATTTGTGTACTTCTTCCATTACTTCCTCAGGAAGGTGAGGTTGGGGGTTGGACCAACCCAATCCTGTAGCAACACTTTACACTTTGAAGGTGTAAATCGCTTACCGAACACGGCCACATTAGCACTCAAACTATCCAAAAAAGCACGCAACTTACCTGAGTCTTCACTTAGTAGCACAATATCATCTGCATCTCTAGATCAGACAGTCTGCTACCTGAGAGTAAATCTATACGGATATTCTTGCACGAGGATAGAGCTATTTCAATTAACTGTGCCCTAAGCTGATTTTTCTATTACACTGCAAGCGCAGTGGTCGGTAAACCTATGCGTTTTTTCTACTCATACACCGCCACCTGATCCCTAATATCCGGAAGTACAACTTGGTCGGCAATGTCTGGTGCGTGAGAAATGAGGGATAAGGTTGCATTCACTCAATGGAGTCGCGAATTTCAACTTCCAACAATGCTAAGGAAGTGATGAGAATTTGGAAATATAGGCACATTTCACTTTACTTATTAAAATATCGAGTAGAAGTACGGGCTTGTTTCAGTTATTTTGTTTAGGTCGGGAGCAACACATTTGCGTTTCTGGTTTTACCTATAATGGACTCGAGTAATTTGAATCCGTCATAGCACACACCGGGGGTTAGAACAACTAGCTAACTTTTCGGCTCATTCATATACCACAACGACAGAAAAACTGCTCTGTGATTCAGCCATGATAAGTATCTTATTGGGCAAACATACTCTCTTTGTGTGTTAGATATATATGTTCGGCGTTCCATATGAGGGAAAGAAAAGTACCTACTCAGCAAAGAATACTCATATTCATATATACAAAACTCGAAACGACACACTGATTGTGTGCGCAGAATTCAGTTAGTTTTGGATTTATTAGAGTGACAAAAAATATCTGTGTTCATGAAATGGCGGAAATGACAATTTACGTCTTAAGCATTTTTTGAAACATCATGACGATCAGGTAAATTCCCTTTGGGGATGGCTTCACTTTTCTAGTTCATGACGTACAACCTAATGGTGATGGAAAATCCAATCAACGAATCCGTTATAGATACCCGGGACGGTAACGAGATGTATCGGTTTGATAATCAAATGGACCGTGAGAAAATCGAGTGTCTTTATTCAAGACCACCTGGTGCACTAGTTTGATTGGTTGGGATAGTTTTAGAGACTTAAATCTTGTATTCAACTTAAGAATGATGACTCAGACCACATTCAAGGAACGTAAGATAATCTGGCTAGGTATTTTGCAGAAATCGAAACGCTTGCACTGTAGGAATGGTGTATCAGACACTGCCCCCAAAAGCCTCAGTATGGTCCGCGATGGGTGTCTAGGGTTGCGGATGGTTACCCTCCCCTTGCACCTCGCAAACTGCTCCCATAGGACCAAGCGTCTCAACTAGCCTCTGTTGAGGAAGCCCTACCCACTGCCTTCTTGTGGCGGAGGTGTTTTCGCACCAAAGTGAGAGGACGAAAAGCGGATATCCGGGAATATAACCGGATTGGTGAACCACCGTTAGTTCAATTAGGGTAGTTGGCCAAAAACCCTGATTCCAAACCAACCAAGAGGAGGCAGGTCAGGCTTTGGCTAGTCAAAGGCTCCGGTTGTGGATTCCTCAAGAGAATTCACCTGCCTTGGCCTAGGTAACCTGGCAGCATTCCACTCGCATGCAAATCATTGAACGTTTTTCATTTTCATAAAGATTATTGTACCACAATTTGTTTGGCACACAGTCTGGATTCAGATGTGTGTGAAAATATAAATATAATAAATAACTTCAGATACCACTAATATCAGTGAACTGATCACCACATGCTGGAAGAAGACCAGTTCTAACTCTGAACGATTATTTACTCTCGCCGTGAAGCCTGCATTCGATGCGCTAGTTTAAACCTTAAGGTGAACGAATTGGTAAGTAGAAAGCAAAGATAACCATACGATACCTGTCCAACAGCAATGTCTTAGATACAGATACAAACGGCAAGGCAACCTATTTTCGTGGAATAAAAAACGACATAGTCCGAGACAAGAATTAACCAATCTCTCACAACTTGTGGGTAAAATGTTTTTTACGGTGATCGTTGACATGCAATATTTTTGCCATTTTTAAATATGATGGTGCTTACAAAGCTGTCCGTGATCACATTCATATTGTGATAACCCTCGCCGGGGGTCACGGAGAATTTCGGACCGCCCATAACCGTGGTGGAACCAATCGTGACACTGGATGTGCGCGTGTTCCGCCTTCGTTTCGGACGTCCACGTGTGGACTCATGCATCCGCGTCGTTTTGCGTCGTCTGGATCGCAGATTAAACATGTTCAACTGAGATACACGGGCGGCCATGCGCACTTTGGATCGCATGCGTTGACTCATTTCATGTGCGAGCGCATTCTTCCCATTTGAACTGGTAGTCGTGGTCGTGGTGGTCGGTTCCTCCCCGCTGGTCAAACAACCACCCAGTTGTGGATACAGACCCGGGACGTGTCCGGTTGTGCTCCGGCTAAGATCACCAGCATGTTCGAAATTGAACTGTCCTGCACAAACAAAGATGTGAGTGGATAAGCAAAAACGTCACTGCAGATGGGAAGGTTGATAATCTTAGGAAAATTCGGTACGTGTAAACCCCGCGGAACTAGAGCTACTCGTTTCATTACAAAACACGTCAAAAAGTTATATATATATATATATATATTGATTTTGAGTGTTATTTTAGTTCAGGTTTCGTTAACAATTAAAAATTGTAAGTTCTACAGATTCAAAGCATGGACAATCGTTTTATCATTGTTTTTTGTCGAAAAAATTAACTAGACCGAAAATGAACCACTGGTTAATTTTTATATTGAACATTGTGTGACACTGGCAACCATTGGTCATAATCGCCCAGGCAAATAACAAATCTCACAGATTTATTACAAAACAACGAACAAATTGGGACCATACAAGTAGCAAACAGACTCATTTTTCCATATTTTTCATCGAAGTAATAAGGTTATATATATATATACGTATTTAGACATCATTTGTTGCAGATCTGTTTAGTTTACATATATATATATATATATATATACATGAGCCAGACGTAGAATTTATCAAAAACGAGCTTACTGCCTGCTCGTGTTGTTCCATTAATGTCACTATGAGAATCATCTGTGAAACTGGAACCAATATGATGTCAATTAGATTATCGCAGATTTAAAAGGCGCATTTCGTTCGCATTCCCAATAATAATGCAATGTCAATTTGCGATTACCTATTTGAGGCGATGAAGCCAAATGGCACCGGTTTCCAGGGGCCATAATGCAATCAGATGTTTAACTGATTCTGGACGACAAATTATTTGCTGTTTTTCCCTTATTCATTTCGAACGTATCACGCTAAAAACGTATGTTCTAAAGCATTTCTGATTAAATAGATCATCATTTTACGGGCGTACGCATGCAAATTTTCTTTAGACAAACAAAAGTATTTGGAAACATGGTAGTAGTAGTAGTGATTATATCGGTTTGCCAATTGTAATATCGGCAATGTCTTTTCTCGACAGGAAACTAAAAGAATACATAATCATATGTGTGATGTTCGGCGCACACGATTCGCGGAGAAGGGCTATTAATAAAACGCACAACGCTTTCGACGTCTTTGCCCTCCTATGCAATGAAAAACATTCAGTTGGGCCGATTTGGTGCTAACAACCACGTGCTTCGTTAGAGCTCTGTCACAAAGGCACTCGATAGCGTGCATCCAAAATACCAGCTTACGTGGACGAAATGCACTGTATTTGGTGAGATGACATTACATAGTTTACACCGGAACAGTGTTAATTCAGTCTTTTTGTCGGGTAGTCTGAACCATGTGCGTACGTATAATGATAATTATGCAGATTTGATTAAAAAATGGGCAATACGAAGCACAGAAACAGGTCAAGCAGAAAACAGCACAAAAATGAACAAAGACAGTCAACGATGTACCGCGAATATCTGATAAGCTGCAATTCATTCAGGTTTAGGGCCGGGATTGATTATAAAACATTCAATCATTTACACAGATTACTCTAAAGCTGTCGAATGCCAGCGGTTTCAACAAACTGTGATAAAACAGATCTGCCTCGTCTGTTGACTATTCTAAACCTTTCTCTTCATTCTACAGATGTTCGTCCTTCTAGCAAACAGCACAGATCATTGGAACGCAGTTAACCCGCCGTACCAACTTTTTCGGAAAATATCACTTATGGACAGCTTCGTTCTAAATTCTCATTCCACTAAAAGAACATTGGAATCGGTTAGTACAACGCAAATAGGTGACTGCGAACTGTGGGGTTGTCCAAACCCTAGTTCTTCTGAAGAGTATAATATTGCCAGCCACTCCCAGATTGGAAGTTACAAGTCGCAAAACAGATTCAATTCATATTAGCAATGTTGCATAATCAACGAATTGAATGCCTTCCAGAAAACGCTTCTGATTCCCAACAGCTTTGGGCACTTGATGAATCAATGTTCTTTCAGGAACGTTACGGTTAACTTTTATCAATGGCAAGCTAGCAAAGCTCAAGATGATCAAATCCCATCAGATCGTAGCAAAATTTGCTCGGATGAGTGCAAAAATAAATTAGCTAATTACTACAATCACTGGCTCCGTTGATGTTCTAACGATTCAGGTTACCCACGTGTGTCACTCCCAGGGTAGTGTGTTTATACCGCAAAACCACCACCGCTTGAATTCATCCTTGTTTTTCTATCACATACCAGTCCTTGGATTAGACAATTTTCTCTGTTTCAAAATACAATCCCAAAACTATGCATTTCAAAGAAAGCAATTCAGATAAAAACAAAAAGGTAGCTGCCGGGAGACTAAAAATCAACCGTTGATCTAGCCGAATTATCCTATCTACCGAATAAGACACTCTTCATGACAGCAAAGTTATTAACTTAACATTGTCAAGGTCAGAGGGATAGGTTTTGCGCAAATTCAATGTACTCCTCACATTGCTGTGTTGTAATTAACAAAATCTAAGGGAACAAATTGTTTACGGTAAGATTGCGTATCATCGAAACAATGCATGGAAACCGAGTGCGCTTTTTAGGTCTATTCGGAAACAATGTTTAACCACCTGCGTGTGAACCAGACGAAGCAAACATCCAAACCCCACTAGCTGACAATCAACAGGCAAATGTTCCAACGTGAGCGGGTCTGCCAGTTATGGAACGAGAGAAGGAAGAAACTGTTTGTTCAATGCACGGAAGATACACGCACAATACGTATGCGATGTCACAAAACCCGTTTTTGAAAAACAAAAACGATGAGAAAAACAAGCACATCTCCGTTCTGACAGAGATGCGCCTTTTTGAGGGAAACAAGAAAAAAAACAAAGAGCAACGCATGCATGCACACAGTGAGCTGATGTATAACCACCATCAACTGCGACTCAATGTATGAATGACAATCACGCAGTCGCACCTCACACAATGCACAAATCAAGCATCGTTTTGCCTGTTGAGCACATGTACGAGGATGGGAGCGGGGACAGGAATGCGTACGCGAAGTGTTGGGAACTGCGCAATTCCAAGTGCAATGATGCAGTGTGCGTGTGTGGAAGAGTTTGCACGTAAGGCGGTCTCAGTTTCCCATCCATGTGAACCGATCTGTGCAATAGCACGCAGTCTTTAGATACCCAGTATTATGAACGGGGACAGTAGATTGTATCAAAGGAGTGAGCGGACTAGCTGGAAGGATATCCAGAAGAGGAGACAAAGGGAAAAGGATTGACATCCCCCTCAAAACTGAGCACTGCTGCATTACGGTAAAGATGGTCCGAGCATAGTTGTCGGATCGAACAAAGTTGACACTCTGTGAAACGAAAACTCATCCGCGTCTGTAAAAGTGATTTAGCAGCGAAGTTTACTTGTTTACTTTAGTTCATTATCTTCGACGAAAAATTCTATCTGGAGAACGAAGAATGAATACATCAAATGTGAACCACAATTTGCTGGAAAATTGTCAACGCGGATTTAAGGGGGTGAAAATGTAGGACAGCTCGCGGGTTAATTGATATCTATAGACAGTGAATCCTCTGAGTCCATTGAATGCAATATTGATTCCCATTTTGTGACCATGGGGAGAATAAAATTGCCGACAAATGTCATCATATCATCTCTTATTACCTGAGATCACCTAGGATTCACTCCATAAAATCTATTTTTGACAAGTAAAAATATGTATGAAAACCGTAACTCAGGGTTTTAATATTTAAAACCGATAAAAACAAGGGCCTAACCTGGAACAATAATTTGGTTATTCGGAGTGTCTAATTGCTTAATTGGATCCGACACTGTTTCCGAACATTTTTATCAGTGTCAGTCACCAATAGCAACAAAGGAATTCCAACATTCTTCCATCCAACCTAAAACATTGAGAAATACCACCAGTTCAGATCAAGACAGATAATGTCACAAAACCAACAAGAGTTACCGGGTTGTTTTGCCTACAGTCAACAACCTCTTTCAATAATACGAGCTTAAATCATGAAGTACAAGACCATCCAAAAAAAGTTAATGCACCAAATCGGCAGAAGACATTCCTTATGCACACACATCAGTTGCAGTGGATCAATGGAACACTGTAAACTACTCCTATAGATAGTAATAGATAATTGAACTTCGATTCGGAAAGATGTTACTGCTATCCTCCAAATAGAAAACCGCAATCAATTGCAGGTTTTCTGACAACCATTTATGAGAGAAATTCTTTGTATTATTCGAGGTGACTAGGGTGTTGTTGCCAATTTGATGGATCAAAAACTTCAAACTCTAAGAAACTGTAAAGGAACAACTGTCATATGATTATTCATTCCGGGAATTTGTTCGATGACATAACTGTAAACCAGTAGATGTGAACCTGAAAATTCATGGAATCAAGTCATTGTTGAATCCACCTAATACTGTTCTGCTCCATCGTATAACCGATTCGCCCTTGTCTAAAACTGGTATCGCAATAAACGAATCTTAAACAGAGCAAAAGGATATTTAATTAATTTTTTTGAATCAAGGTGAATCACTTCAGCATGCGATACAACTGAAAACCTAAAATACTGTGAATTCCAGATTCAGGGAACACATTTGCAAGCCTGCTATGATCCAACCAAGAGACTGAGACAGATTGCGGCATGCGGTCATCATTTTTGACGGAACTCACAACCACGCGGACATGTGTGGCGAGAAATCTTATTTGCACCCTCACGCTCCCTCTCTTGCTACTGTTTCAGTCACGTGATGAAGGGATGATCGTCAACCGTAAACCTGAGAGGAATGAGAACAACATGACCTAGACAGATAGCTTACAACATTTTGTTTAAGTTACCGCCTGATCCAGTGTTATGAACAGTCACAATAATCCTAGATCAATGATCCCAATAAGATGATCTGATCTTTCCACCTATTTAATTATCCGAAAAAACTATATGAAAATTACACAGCAATGGTCATTTGTGACATGATTATTCAGATCGATTTGTCGAAGCAAGACTGATATAACTCATATACGCTTAGGTCACGTTACAAAATGAACTGAAAACAACATAAAACCTGTGCTATTTTTCGTCTACCACTACCAACCTAGAAATGCATGCAACTGGTACTGAATGCTTAAAGCATATCTATCTGATGACGGAACAGTGAAAGTAGCATAGCAGCTTTATTATTCACAAAGAACAACACTTGTCTTGATTTGCAGTTCCGCGCGTTACAAACATAGAACAAAGAACTTTCAAACTTTTTTGTTCCGAAGAAAAAATATTCACATCAAAGCTCTTTCAGACATTTCAATTGCGCAAATTTTACGACTATATCTCGGTTGACGAATACGAAACGTACGTACCTTCTTAAGGTCTCTTAGCTTATCCATAAAATATCCTAATGTGAGGGTTGTAATTGCACCTTGTTTTCTGCACTCACTCAACATATATACATATATGTGTGATTATCCGTTTTGTTCAAGAAATCGGTGAGGTCATTCATGCATTACGTAGTACAAGGCTATAAAAGATAACGGAATCGAGTTTAAAACATTTAATACAATGAAGGCACCAGAGAATAACCGTACCAATTGTCCGAGGTTGTCTTGCTTTGAAAAAAGCTCTGAGATGCTAATGGAGATTTTGTGCTACAACTTACAGAAAGTGATGCGGATGTAACGGAGGTTCCTTATCACTATTCATTTTTAACAAACAGCCTGACTGCATGTGGTAGCGACCATTTGGTTTACTCAATGCTCCTGACTTGCCTTTGAGCAGTCAAATAGGTCCCTAAGTGCGATGATAACAAACTCGATCGATCGAGGTTTATTTACGATTAAACCAGGGTTCAGCTGATGCGTCTTAAATCGATGAAATTCAACCTGTTCCTCTACCGGACCACTTAGACTCAGTCTTCTGCTTCATTTATCGCGTTACGCTAGCATGCAACAATGTATGCGCGCGCCCTTCGATTGGCTACGCTGCACTTATGTACTCTCCGTCACATGTGGTAATTTGAAATTTTCAATCATTACTATGTGTCGTTGTTATTCCAGGGATCAAGAAATTTGTATCAAACCGACCGTGAAATCTTTTAATTGATTTTGGCTTATGTCTCTCCAGATTCTCACTCTACAGCCTGGGACCAAGAAAAAACATGTGCGTAGGTAGCCAAGTTGCTTTTAATTAAACCCCTTTGGTCAAGCTGATCTTTCGTTCCTTGGTCAGTACTAACATTCGGTCAATGATTTGAAACATGTCGGATTTAACTAGTGTCCTCTGATCACGAATTCACTAACAAAGAGAGGGAGTAACCATTGAACTTCACCTTAACCCTGGACAGCGATCAGTGAAGTTCGCCTCGCTGTATTTCGCTCTACGATGATGATGATCATAACCCTGGACCAAAATTGTTTTCATGATCCCTACGTACATATCTGTTCCTGGAATGTGTTCATTGCGATGGTGAGTTTATTTAGTCTTCAAATGGGAAAATAGGTTTTAGGGTTTGCAACGGTTACATAATTTAATGGTCTGAACGCCTACAATTTTTCACTCGAATACGGTAGTCATACAAGGAAAACAACAGGTAAAATAGGTGTAAATGATGAGGGTCAAACTCAATTCCTGTTGAGAGAGTGAGTGGTGGTTGAAGCTATAGACGCTGCTGTTGTACCAATGCCCGGTTATACTTTATTCAATGTCAAATCGTAAATATACCTGCATGCATAACTTCGCCGATGGTTAATGCTTTAGGCAAGCTGTTCACAGTAGCCAAAACCAGCGCACGAAAGTGCATGGTTAACGGTTGTGCAAACGGAACTGGAGAAGAGTAACCATTTCTTCAAATAGTTCATAAACAATAGATTACGGGTCGTGATCTGCCGCGCATTGTGATGCTATTCAAATAAGATCGGTGGAGGACAATTTGCTTTCAATGCTGTTGACTAAGTTAATGAAAATGTAAAGGGTGACCGCAACATCGACGAACAAAGTGTACGTAGTGAACCTGCAAAAAAACGGAGACTGAAAATAACCAGAGTTTTCAGCAAACCTCATTCAGATTAAAATATAAATCCGTGAATAACGGGAATCTATTAACGTAATGCAGGACGGAATGCGCATACAGTGGTACTCCTGTGCAAAGAAGGAATCCGTACAGCACGCACAAGCCGAGCGACATGTGAAACGATGCGAGTGTAACGGACCCTTTTTGCATCTGACAATCAAGAAAAGATGCTTGGAAGTATATGAGTTCTCACAGCGATTCGAATCCGTTATCGTGAATAAATTGAGATTGGAGAACTCGAAGCCAATTCGCTTTAAAACACGGGTAAAATGTAGAAAACCTGAACATGAGTGAAATTGTCTACCCTAAAGTGTACTTGAAACTAGAGTGAAATCAGTTTCATGTGATCCTCTAATGAAGTTTCTCACCTACTATACTGAATAAAACCATGCATCTTACCACTCTATTTAGAAGCAAACTGTTTTGGCTTTGGAACGCTGTTTGTGAATCATTAAGATCCTTTGGCTGAGCCTAGACAAGTGACTTGTTTTGAAGTAGCCGAGCAGGTGAGAACAGTGTCCGAATGGAACTTTTATCCAAAGTGAAATCATTTAGGACCCAAATGTGTGCTCACTCAAACTAGTCGCCCTTTCCTTAGATAAATCCTTATATGTGGTCAGTTTCATTCATTTTCGAAAGAATAGACAATACTGCTCGATTCCCATCTAGAACGGTTTCGCTGCATCCCGAAATGAGACATACCACAGAAAACGCAATGTTTATACGGGGATTCCGCATGACAACAAATCAAAGAAAGATACAATAAAACAGACAAACATAAAAGAGGGTGAGGGGGGATAAAAGGACCATGTCACCATAGTAAGGACAAGATAACAAAAGTTCTCTTTGTTGTACTGATACGAGAGTGAATCAATGAGAACAAGCTGTTTGTCTATTTGGATATTATTAGCGAGAACCACATATTTCGAATAAAATAGAATACTGATGAGATGGTATTTCAAAGAATTCTGCATGAAGCATCATACGGAGTGTCAACAACTGGGGCCATTTTCCCTGGTTCATAACGTCTACATGAACCACAATATATTACTCACACAAGTTGTTTTTCGCAGACAATCTAGTAGATCATTGAAATAGAATTACTTATATGACCCATCATTTCGAAATAATCAAAATTAATAGATTTCTAGATCTTCCTTTATGGCCTACGAATTGGGCAGGCTTGAAATCGATCTTAGCAGTTGCTTATCGGAAAATTCTTTTTTTTCTGAATAAATGGACCACAAAGAATTAAACGACACAGATAGGATATCGTTTAATGAAACTGATCGCAAAAACAGCCCATTCTCGTGCTGAAATTCGGCGACTGAGTTGATTAAAATACTTTTTACCACTTACATATGACAACCACTGACACATACATTACGTTCATTTGGGTCTCTGGCGTCTAACATTTTGACTCGCCCTGTCTGTCTGGGGCCGGTTATCGAATATAAGGTGACCGAGAAAAACATCCTCAGAAATTGAAGCCACTAGATTCCGCTAACACAATGCAAATTACAGGTGAGTACAACGCAAAATACCCCGAACAACGGAGATCTTTAGCTCTGATTTCGTCATGCAAGTCTATCGGGAATATTCTTCCACTGAAGAGTCATGCCAAAAAGATCACTTAAAAGCACTGGTCGAGTATCTCCTTTTGCCCACCTGACCTTGGACAGAAAAAACATTTGCATTCCTACTATGCACTTTGGTACCGGTCGTTATAGTAACCCCGAGCGTTATAAACTCATTTCCCATTTTCTGTTGAGTCGATCGAATTAAGGACTATACTAGTCAGCAGGATTTTCTTTGTGTTTAGGTAAAACAAGTCTTCTATGGAAGTCCAAATGCCCTTAATCCATTGGCAGTCCTGTGTTGAATGTATGCCCTTCTCATTTCCATTCGGTAAACATCATGTTTGTCCAAATGTGCGGACTTCGTAATAGTCACAGAGGTAAGCCAGCACTCCTGGTACTAAGATATAGAGCATCAAACTACGAATACACCGCAACAGGATAGTTACGAAAGAGAATTGGCTTCCAATGAAAGCACTATTGCCTGAATTTAGGGGTTAGACTGAGAACTTTACTCTCCAAAGATTCTTGCAACAGTGATGTGGATAGTAGAAACTTCTTAGAGAATTAAATGAGAGAATGTTCAGAAAGTATTCAAAATATTTTATCACTTACCCCGAGCACTCGGTTGAACTAGTGGATTTGCTGTTCGTAAATGGGACGCATTCTGAACCGGTACAGTCATTGTTGGCTCGATTCTCGTTTCTGTCACTTCTGACCAAGGGGTAAAAGCACGCGGTGGATAGGGGGCAGATCGGGCCTCTCGAGGATTGGAACTTGCAGCCCACCAACCTGCGGGGAAGTCTCCGTTTGCCTTGTTCATCCCACCTCTCCAGGAGACGGGAGAAATTGCGGCTTCACTAGGCCCATCGGACATGTATGGATTGTTATGCGCACCTCCGGGGATGCCAACGTCTGTACCGTGATTAGGCATTTTTGTATGCTTTCGACTGGCCCAATAATGTCGAAATCGCAGGAACCAGATAATGATAAACACTAAGTTCGGAACGGATCCACACAGCGGATGAGCGATTTTATAAAAGCGGAAAAATAGCGGAAAATGCGATGAGAAATAGCGGAATGTAACTAGACGCTACACTTGATAGCCTTGTTACAGACAATAAAGCTTTCATTTAAAGTATAACTAGCAAGGAAAGTAAATTACAAGGAATTTAATAACAACAATGACATCAGTAAATTCCTAATCTATCTAATCTATCTAAGTGAGGAGATTCTGTGGTAACCAGAGGTGAACTGGTACGTTTTTCAAGAAGACGGAAAATCAGTGATGAAAACTTAAATAATCACTGTTCTTCTAAAGCTCTATGACTAACAATTTTCCGTCTCGGAGGTTTACTGAACTACATAAATCTGGAGTTTCGTATTGGTTAATATAATCCGGGAATATGATATGCACGTCAGCTTGGAAAGTACCATAAACGCTACAATGTGAGAGGTAAATCTCGCTAAGTCAGTCACTTCATATTGTGAGTCTTGATCACTCCTGTCCCACGTTACGTTGCCAATAATTGTGTGTTCTTCATGATTTCATAAGTCTATATAATGTTGCAAAACTTCCAGTCCGTTGTATAAATAACGGTAATTACGTCGTTCTCCACGTCCAAACCGATACAAAACACGTAACTCATTGAGGACTGGAATCCTCAAAATATATCAAGCTGACTAGCGAGTGATCCGAGGAAATTAAGCCTCTAGTACCTCAGACTGCAAATGATGGGGTGAATAAAATTATTCCAAATTGGAGCTAGCTTAATAAAACTACATATTCAGCGTCCTATATCAACAGTCAGAATCCAAATGGAAACGTTGTATTCATCGACAGATTGATTACTTCAGACGTACAAGCATCAACGAAACGTTCCCATCATCAGCTTAGGGTCAATCTTGTTCTTAAAAGGCTTCACTGTGCGGCCTCGTTTGTTGCTTCACAACTGGAGTGGAGTGAATAAAGCGAAAGAATCCGCACGGAGTACCAGCAAAGACCGAAACTGAATGCGCCGACGAACCTACGAATTTAACCTCGGTGAGAGATTACAATATAAGCGTTTCATGTGCAACAGAGTAGGGTATTAAACAAACCTCTTTTGTGTGGAAAAACAATCAATTCGGCTCAACAGAGCGAGCTGAGACTGATTTACGTAGTACACAACTTCACCTGAATTCCCTCAACGGAACCAGCTTACATCATCGGTTTTCACTTCGTTCATGCTCAAGCATTTTCTGAATCAAATTCCAACGCTTTGGTGTCAGTATTACACTATTGAGATCCTGTATAACGATGGTTCTTTTCGATTAGACATTATATTGATCTATTGGACGCAGAACTGAGTCGTGTTTTCTCGCTGCTCAAACCGCATTTTGCAACCAATCTAACATAGAAAGAAAAAAATGTCAAAAGAAAGTACCATATTACAAAACGGCGCAAGTTACGTCCAGCAAAATCGTCTTGGACATAAATTGTGCAGTATTCCGATACTGTTTTTTCTTTTGCCAGAAATATCAGCTTATTTTATTTTCAAATCGGCTTCTGAACGAGACCAATTTCTGTGGCGGTAGTACCAATAAAGGTGAAAGGTTTAAGGTCAGCTTGACCAAGAAGACTCCGAAGAAGTAGGATCCATCTTTTAATTTTACCGTTGAGCAAAACATTTACCCTGGCTGGAAGGATGTATGATTTTTATGTGACCTGAACGAGGCCTTTGTGAGTAGAAAATTGTTTCAACAAGAAGTGACCCTTGAAAAATGTATTGTTTCCAACCCGGCAAGCACGTGCTACCTGATGAAGGTTGTAGTCTACTCCAAGACGGACAACTTTGTCTTCAAATTAATTATCTATCTCATTAAATTGTGCCTAGCTATTATTGACATTGTCAAAATGAAATCACTCTAAATAGTGTGTGATAGATATCAACGAATGTATTCGATCGAATAACGTTTATCATTTATTTATTTATTTATATAGAATTTTCGGGATACGGTCTATCACACAACAGCTTCGATATCATCGTACATAGCAACAGGCCCCTTATTTTCGATAAGAAACGCGGCGCTCAAGGTCACCTTTATATCATACTGAAGACAATCCGTACTCGTGGATCACAAGCGTTCCGTTTCTTTACCATGGTGGTCTCTTTAATACGACGAACGGGTCATTTTCGCGGTGAATGTATCATGTGGTTGATACCAAATAATAGTGCAGAATAAAAAGTTGACTTCAAGTAATGGGTCATTGAGTGCAATGTTGTTTGACTAGAAGTGTCAATTTATCAGAATATATTGATCCTGAGAAGTCTTCCTGTGAGGTTGAAAGAAGACCTCATCTTGGTGTGTGCCAAGATCCAACTATGCATGCACGTTGTCTATCTGCAGTACCAACATAGTTACAATCCTAAAGAAAATCCATGGTTATAACCATTACTCGTCCCCAAATTAACTCCCTAGCATGATGGCGAGAAAAAGGCTCAAACAAAATTAGATATGAAAACTGTTGGCCCAGGAAGATATCCTTGTACCTGAACGTTGTCGGAAGGAAAGGTAAACTGTAGAAATATGATAGCCGAGTGAAAACGATTCATGTGAATACATTCATCAGTCACTTATCACCAGCACCACCACCAGTATCTTTGGTGTTATTTTGAACTAGAAAACAGACAGGCAGGTTATTACCTATTGCATTTGTAGAGAGACAGCGGGAATGAGTAAATGATAATAATGAAATTTACAATATGCATTCAAATTGCTGGACACCACAATCCGCATGAAATATGATTTTAAAACAAGGATCGGGGACCACTAAAATATTGTGGGGTAAAAGAAAGATATATACGAACCATATAGTATTTGTTACAAGTGTCCTATGGTTCACTTTTGAGAATCTGGATTAAGCATCCACTTAAATTTAGTACCGTACTCCAAACTGATATTCACCGCTTGTGATACTCAGGCTTGATTGAACGCAACATGTATAAAGTGGAGATGGCACACTATTAGTGCGGTGTGCCATCGGTCTGTTACTGTCAAGAGGCAAATAGAGCCCACTTGCCGTGAAGCATGAAGCTTGTCACATAGCAAGGCAGGAGGAGTAGATGAATATACAGTTGGAAAGACCAAGCGCAAGCGACAGAAAAGGGGACAACAATCCAGACAGGAAATACCAGACTGAAGGTCGACAGTCACCTGACTACAGACGGTTAGTTTTCTATTCGCTTTTGAACAGAAATCAGACAATCGTTGGTAGCCGATACCACATGCGGCAATTATTCAACGCCGCACAAAACGTTCTCGCATTTTTCCATGTTGAACTTTTAAAAGGAGTGCAGAATAAAAGATTTTCGTAAAAAAGCTCGATACCTACGTGTTTATAGAAACACTAAAACGATAAGAAATACAGCTATATAATGGTAGAGGAGATGAATTTCATTGACGTCGAACTGCGACAATCGAAAGCGAATAAAACCTGCATCATTTACTCAATTCCCTGTTGGGTTACAGTTAGCCTATTCAAAAGATAAAATTGTTTTTATTTACTTCAATAATACCAGTACATAATAACTAATGGGATGTTTCTCTAAGAGGAAGGAGCGGGCAGCAAGCTAACGTATTTTCTTCATCTTCGTCCTCCTCATAAAAGAACAGCAACAAAACGCATAATAATAAGACAACGGGTTCGATGGTCCTCCGAAAAGATGACGTCTTCCTAGAGCGTCGATTATAAAGAAAAAACTTGATTGAGGCAAAGCAAACCTTCACAGCTGCGTGTAAACTGGACGGGAAAAAAATTCAATTTCGGGTCTAACACAACGGGCGCGCAACTCCGCTCTGACAGGGTGTTTGACGAGATATGGACGAAAATTAAGGACTTTCCCAGAGAAAAGGAATACCTTACCCGGTTCATCGAGAGAATCTTTCGGGAAAGACCATTATCTGAACCAACCCACAAGACTTAGAAGAGTAAGTTATTCAGAGATCAGACTACTGAGGTGTAACCCCTCGAAGAAACGCTTGAAGCGTTAGGTGAAGCGGACCTGCTACGATGCAGCTCGGTTGTCGTGTGAATTTACAGACTAGCACATATTCCGAACCATCCAAAAGGGATACGCTGACTACGTTATCCATTTTCATGGTGATCTAGATGTTCAGTTGAAATGTAATTTACAGGGACCTTACGACGAGACAATCATTTCAACTGGTGAAGGGATTCTGCCCACGCTGGTTAAGAAATGGAAGCATGTGTAACATAAGGAACATTCTTTGTTATCCAGTGGATACGAATCAGTAACAGGGAACGGAATTCGTCTGTACAGTTAAACGTCGTGTGGCCCATTGCTAAGGTGGCAGACATTAATGTTTTCGACCCCGAACCGTGTGCACAAAGGCGATCGGCCCAAAACAATCAACAACACAAGCACTCCATCCAAAATGTATTTCACCCAAACGCTTCGCCATTTGAAGGAGTGTCCAACACTATATCATCGTTCCTTTCCCGTCCCGACTAAGCATGAAGACCTATCTCCTCTAATATCGAACAAATTTATTATTTCTACACACAGGATTAATAATCAACAGAAACTTGGACTACTGTCATAGATTTCTTCAAAGACCAATATTGAGCAATGAATCTCACAGCCACTCATAAGTATACTAATTCATACATAACTTAGACATTTAGATATTCCATAGATCATGAGAGAAAACACTGCCCTCAAACCGAGCGTTAGGGGACGATGATGGTGATAAAACAAAATTCAGTCTCCTGATTGGTTGTTCACGCATCAGTAATGAGCCCTGCGGTTTCCACGAAAATCACCTCATCAGACTAAAATAAGTAACGACCAAACGATATTAGCACCACCCATGAATGACTGTTTATCTATTACAATAGGTCTGTCCACTGAAAATCTCCATCAACGAATC